AGTAGTTTACTGAGAAGTGTATTAGTTCCATGATATTTACTTTCTTTATTTCGGTTATTTTTTAAGAAAGTTCTTTTTGGCTTTGTTCAGCATGGTAAAAAAGAAGGGCAAATGAGGAAGGGAAGAACAGGGAACAGGAGGAAGGAGGAACTGAGAGACACATGGAGTAAGTGTGAACTGGAACCAGCCACCAAGCAGAACATCCAGAACCCAGCCACGCGCACCATCATACGAATGCACACTAAAGCTTTTCTTACCTGCTACAGGTTCCCAGTGGGGTTTTCAAGCTGTTTGGGTTTCTAATCATTTTGTCCAGTATACCAACTATCTGCTCAAACTTCGGCCTTTCACCACGTTCCTTCTGCCAACAATCTAGCATCAGCTGGTGCAGTCCTGCTGGGCAATCCATGGGTGCTGGCAAACGATAGCCTTCTTCGATTGCTTTTATAACCTAGTAGCCAACATAGTTAATCATTTGTCATCAAGGGATATTTAAGAAATATATATTGCTACCCAGTTCAGGAAAGAGAAGAAGAAAAAAGAAAATCAATAAACTAAAATTTGCCATCAGCATTGCAAAAATATCAGTCTGTTGTTTTGACACTAGCCTTCATGTTTTCAAATAATTTCCCCGACTTTATCTTTGGGCTTATTAAGCATATTCTATATGTGCAGAACATAGCTATATTACCTAGTCAAGTGAGCAGCAGGGAACAACAATTAAATTCACCAAGGGAGCAACAGATAGATTGATAAATGGAGTTATTTCAGAAAGCATTATTACTTGCCCCAAGGCTTTTATGAAAGAGTGTGTGGTAGAAGCAACTGACTTGTAAATGGATAGGGATCTGTGCATGCACATATACAATACAAAAAGTCTGAAGAGATTATAAAAGGATCCAAGAAAAATGTTTAGCAGACAGAAATTGTTAGGGAAAAAAGTTGTATTCTGTGTCTAGCCACATTACATTAATGATAAAGTAGCAGAAATGTGCCACGTGAGAGAGGAAGACCTGGCTGAATATTTTTTTAATATATCACCTAAACAGAAAGTTAGACTTAATAAAAGATGCTGCTAGATGATGATACGATCAAAGGAGAGCATAAATGTCTGAACCAAGAATTACATCCACCTGTTGACTTCCTTAGCCAAGTCAACTCCATTTCCATTTAAGTAAAAAATAAAAATGGGTAAAGTAAAATCACAGGAAACTTCTGTAAAGCTTGAGGGCAGGATAAGAAAGCACATCAGGAAGCAAGGCAGATAAGAAAGGCTTGTGAAAGAGGGCTAAAACACTGTTCATGTGGGATTTCAAGTATACTGACATTGACTGACATAGCAGTATTAGAATTGCTAAGGAAAGGTGCTTGTTCCAGAAGGGTAGTGCATAGGACTGTCTTCTCCCTCGGTTTGTACGGAAAGCAAGACCAGAAGCTGTTCTGGATTTAGCCCTAGGAAGTAGATCTGGTATGATAAATAAAGTTGGTGAATATCCAGGGTTCAGTGAAAATTATAACCTCAGATGATAGAAAATATTCCATAGGTTGTGTGAGAAAATGCAAAAGCAGTGGACTGCAAAGGAGACAGAACTGCAAAGAATACAAAATGACCTTCAAAAAGCTGGCTGAAATCCCTGATTGTATCAAAACCTTTTGCAGAAAAGAAATTTTGTGAAAAGAGGAGGCATAGCCCAGTGGTAGGGCATTTACTGCAGGTTTGTGTCACAGAACATCCTTCCGACCTCAGGGAAGTTGCCTCATCTCCCTGGGACTCAGCTTTCTATCTGCACATTTAGAATGACAGTACTGTCCTACAACTCAGAAATGACTGAGAAATATTCAATTCCTGCAGTAACATCCACACCTTGAAGAATGAGTGCGGTGACCTTTTAGAGACAGTGAAGTTATCTGTCAGACAGGGTGGGGAGAGAGGATTTCTGCAGAAGAACAGGGAAATTGGAAGAAAAATACTATACAGGAAAGAAAACATTAAAAGTAAAATTTAAGATCTTTTAGATCAGTATCAATAGGAAAAACAAAAGAACAGCTCCTTATGCTTAGAAGTAGCAGTGGAAGAAAAATGAAAAATAAGCTACAGTGTGTATAGGACAACTGGTGTGTTATGAAAAGCAACGTAGAAATTTCTGACCTAAAAGGTAAAACGTATTAAACCCACTACATATCATTTACTACAAACAAAGCAGTTGCTTAAGAGGTCAGAACGCAGAGACCATCAATGAGGAATGAAAAAGCAGATAACACCAACAGCAACACAACCACCAAAATATCTAAGACTCAGAAGTGGCAAACCATCCAGATAAGACTATATCCAAGAGTGTAAGGGATAGTGAAAACATGAATGAAAGGATCACGAACAGGACTTTTCCACGGTCACTACAATCTGCAGAGCAACCTGAAGAGAGGTGGGAATCAAGATGATGATACTATTTTTAAAAGGTTTTGGGGATACTGCAGAATCAGCTTCTTTGATGTGTATTCTGAGCAAGAAGGATGAAACTGGGAAATATAAAACGATGAGTTAGAGATGGATGGAATTGCTGGGAATATCCAAAACATTGAAAAAACATTGTAAAATATTGATAAGTAAAGTTTCTTTTTTAAAAAAAAGAAAGAAACACGAATATCCACTAAGAAAAGTGGGGGAGGGTTTCCAAAAATCAATACTCGGAGATAATGAAACAGATGCAGGATTTTTTTTTTTTTTTTTTTAAATAAGCAAAGCTACAAAGAGAACATAGCTGGAGTTCTTACTAATAGAATTGATTTGTATTATTTACACTTCCCACAATTTGTTTTTCAAATTCTGTTTTTGCTGCAAAAAGAGAAAAAGGGAATACTGTTAAGAGTCAAGTATGCTTTTATCATAATCAGGCTATCTGAGGATGCAAAGTAGATTTGAAGAGGGCCAGGTCTGTTCACTGTATATACTGGTTGCCAACAAAGAAGTATTAAATACGGATAACCGGACAATGTAATGTTATCACTCTGCTTCTGGGTATAGAATAATAATGCAGCTTAATAATCATAATAATGGTAACAAATCCAGGAGTACAGCAAAGAAAAAATATGTAAGCCTAAGCTCTTGACTTTTTCTGAAGAACTAATCTGCACTAGGGTCAGTAACTGAATGAGAGGAAGAACTAGCAAACACCAGCAGTCTAACAGGGGAATAGGGTAAAGTGCAGTGGCTTGAGAGTTACTGTTACCAGCAAGGATTAAGCTGAGGGAAGCCCACTGCTCAGAGAAGTTGGGGGGACTCTGTGTATCATCTGTGCTCAGCCCGCTGTGCCTCTGCGGGGAACTTGTAGGATGAGTGTTCTTCTGGTGCACCCTAGCTCCAGGTCGCTGCTAAAAGGAGGACTTTTGCCTAAAAAGAGATCGCAACACAGATTTGTATCCTCTATCAATCTAAAATAATGACTTAAAGGAAGAGGGACAGAATTAAAGAAATGCCATCTGAAGATCCAAAGTCAGGGAGACATACTTTTTAGGAGATCTGATCTGGTCTATGACTACACCCACATCCACTTTCAGGCAAAATGATACACTTAAGATATATAAACTGACTGGTGTATATGCAAAATTAGAAGACACACATTTAGCATTTTTTATTCCAGTTAAATACTCCCATTGGTAACTGTGAAGGAAAATAAATAACTAATCATAAGATGATTCTAAATTTTTGCATCATAAATTTATCTATGGAATTCGTAGGATGTGTATAAGTTTTGGGAACTATGTTTCAGGACATGCTTGAAGATCACAGCATACAAGAATATTTGAAATTATTTTACCAAACAATTGATGCATCTTTTAACTATGTGCTATTGAAGATTATTATGTAAGATGCTAAAAAGAGATGAAACTGCAAGAAGTGGTAATTAGTTGTTCTATGAAAAAGGTTCATTCATGCGCTTTATTTGAAGTTTTCAATAGAGGGAATACTTTTCAAAATCCAACAAGAAGCATGAAGATACCAGCATTTCTCCCCTATTTAAAAGTTTTTCCTTATTGTTCCCTGAAAGATAGGTAAGGTTTGCCTTTGAGGTATCTTATATTCCTGTCAGACTTCTTTTATGTTTGAATCTAGTACAGAAGGAAGGTGTCAAAAGAAATGAAACTCTACTGGGTGTCTAGGGAATGTAAATATTTCTCTTTCTCTGCCCCAAGGACTTGTTTGCCCATATTTTGACAGTCCATGAAATCTTTGACACTGAGACCTGTCAAATATTAACAACTTTGCAGTGTGCCAAACTGACTCATCATTTACACTTTTATCTTTTTTTTTCAACTTTGATGTCGATCATTCAATCAAAAAATAAAATAATAATAAAAAAAACACTCAAGCCCCCAACCTGAAGAACTTTAAATGACATTCTTTCTGACATCCTTCTCACCTGCATGGCTTTTTCCTGTGTACTTTCTATATTAATAGATACTCTTGTCATAAATCAAGATTAACACCCATCTGTTCTATTACTGCTGACCTGTTGCTCTGGGTCATACTTTATGCAAACAAGGGTATTGTTAAATCAGCATAATTAACTTGAAAAAGCCAAAGTAGGTCATTAACTGCCACTCAGATTTTTAACAACTTTTTTCAACAGTTTAATCATTGCTCTGAGGTCAGAAACCTCAGAATTATTTTTTATTGGAAAAAAATTAATTCCTTCTATGCTTAAGTGTAATAAAGTGAAGAGCACATATTACTATTTTTGATGTTCTAATTTTACTTGATACTCGGGACAAAAACCTACAATACCCACATGGCAGAAGAATGATTTAGAGAATTAGGTAAAAAGTGAAAGCTCTGTAACTTTTTCATTTTGTGAGAACCCTACAGTATTTTGATAAATCTTATTTCTAAACCAACATTTTATGCATGTATAGTGAAACACATATGTATGTGTTTACAATATGTATTTTCTGTTTTTCTAACACACACACACACACACACGCTCACAAACAGACGAAGTATAACCTACATCTTGATTTGACATGTCCCAGTAAGGCCGTTCTCCATAAGACATTACTTCCCACATAACTATTCCATAACTCCACACATCGCTGGCTGATGTAAATTTGCGGTACTGGATGGCCTCTGGAGCTGTCCATCTCACTGGAATTTTTCCACCCTATGAAAAAAGAAAGAAAAGAAGAAAGTTTTCTTTTTTCTCCACAAAATTTCTACATCATCTTCTGCAGAGTGCATTTATAATTGTTTCCATCAACATCAAAAGTGGCACTTATATCATCTACTATAGTTGACCGATTGCAGAATTTTCGAAGGAGTCTAAGGAAGTTTAGGCTCTTAAAACGCTTGGACCATAGAAGCTTAGACACCTGTCTAAGCTAAGTTGGATGCATTTCTCTGGAAGTGCTTATCTCTCAACTGATTTTAAGGGGCTGCTTAGATATCTAGTCATTTAACTCCTGGCTGGCTGAAGCTAGGTGAGGGGAATCTCCTCCTGTGCATATAAATCCCGTTGACTTGTCATATGGATCCTCTGAAATCTTGGTCTGACATTTTTAAACCAGAATCCCACTTAGAGCCCAGTGGCAGGAGTGACAGCCGTGAACGCTGGTGCGCTTTCCTGCATCCCTGTGCCTGTCGGAGCAGATTCCAGGGGCCCCTCCTTCCCTCAGCATGAGAAAAGAAGTGCAGCGAGGCCCCACAGGTGGGAAAGTGGAGCTGGCTCAACAAAAGAATAAAGAGCATAGTGTGCCCGATGAATGCTTATTTAAGAAAAGCGTCCCACCCAAAAGCAAGGGAAAATACAGGAGTTGAGCTTTGTCACAGTCTAGCCTCAAGCTAGTCAACTTTTTGGTGAGATAAAATCTAGTCTGAAAAATAGTAATAGCCTACAAATATTTTAGTTGACTCATAGTAAATGAGATGATTAAAATTTTTATGGGTAAAACTTCCGTATTTGTTCAAACAGAAAATCATGAGGAAAGGAATAATGAAGATACTGTGCAAAATTTTTAGAACTTTACCAAATAAGAATGTATGTTCTTACAAAAATATCAATCCCTAATTACAGCCAGATTTCTGCAGAGACTCTTTTCCTTTTGACTAGTTAACATTTCTCAAGCAATTAATCTATTGCTCTTATCTATACTCTCTAGAAGATATGCTCTTCTTAATAACCACATCTCAAAACTACTAAAACCCATCAATTTCTCTTACGGTAGTAGTGTAGACGGCCTCTGGATCATCTTCTATAACTCTGGAAAGGCCAAAGTCTGACACTTTACAAACAAGGTTGCTGTTGACAAGAATATTGCGTGCTGCAAGATCCCTGTGTACATATCCCATATCGGCCAAATATCTCATTCCAGCAGCAATTCCTCTCAACATTCCCACTAGCTGAATGACTGTAAATTGCCCGTCATGTTTCTGGAGGGAAGAAAGGAGCAGCAATTCTTGTTAGTATAGCTGAGAAGAGAAATAAGAATTAGTTTTGTAACTTTAGCTTTCTACTTATTTATTACTTCTGTGGCAATTCATCCTGGGGCAAAGAAACTCACTTCAAACACAAGTTTTATTTTCTTCAGAGATAAAGCAGTACATCCAGTTAAGAAATGTGTGAGTAGTTAATGTACTAGAAGTAACAAAACTTGCTAATCACTATGAATTTCTGGCTAAGTCATGGCAAGCCTCTTCTAAGAGAGATCACCTGATGCACAGCTCTTCATCTCTCAGCATAATTATCTGTATCAAGAAAATACGAACTATCTCCTTTTGGAACCCTGGCTACTGATAATTTTATTCATAGCTTGGAGTTTATCAAACAAACATAATCTTTCTCTTCTCCAGAGTGTTTATACATCATTTCACACTGTCTTGTACACCTGGTAAGGAGTCAGAATTGGCCAGTTCAGAACACACGCTCAAAAAATGCTAAATCGTTGTGAACTTGCATTTCTTTTTTCTTTGTTCTCTTAAACACGACCATAATTCATTTAGGGATTCTTGTACGCTGATTTCCACCATGCTGACACAATAAAATTCTGCTCCCAAAAGTCAGAAGATTGGGCTTCAGGTGTCAGTGGTTTTAACTTCAGCTGGTGGCAATAATAAAACCCGCCATGTCTATGCCACATTAAATCACTTAAATTCCTAGAATGTTCCCATGTCATCCTGCCTGATCCTCTCATTCCTGATATGATTTTGCTGAAATGATGTAGAGAACTGCTAGTATTTGTCAAGCTCTATTTCAGCCTGAAAACCATTTTAATTATATGAATACCATGCATGTATACATATATACACACACATATATAAAACCATATTTTTAAAAGTGACAATATATAATATAATGTATATGTCACTTAAAATATGTTTATATATGTTTTCATTTTGGTACTCACCCTAAGAAATGCATCTAAGGCCCCATTCTCCATGTATTCGATTACAATCATGACTGGTTTCCCTGAAAGAAAAGAAGACAGATTTTGTTTGAGAGACTGTAACACAAATGGAGTGCCTTTTTTGATAAAACACATGTTATTCCTTTGAACGACTGAACCATTGAGACAACAAACATTTCTGAGGCCTCCAGCACTGTTACTGAGCTCTAATAAGTTCTTAAATGTCTGCATGGAACATGGTCATGATTCACAAAATTAAACCATACAAATCAAAATGTCAGTGTGCTCTTCTAACTCCTGCTGTGTGAACAGGACTCTGGAATAATGACACTTCAGATAATATGAAAGGACATAAGAAACCTTATCTCCCTGCATGGTCTTTGAGGCTAAATGAAACTAGAAAAATAATATATTTCAAAGTACTTCATCTTTTAATCATGTGTGCATCTTAATTTTTTTCCTCAGGTTGTAGCATAAAGTAAGTATTGCTTTAGTTAGTTACGCATCAGGAGAAAATCCATTAGGAGTGTGCAGCCTGTTTGTAATTTGAATCTTTGACCATGAATAAGCTAAAGTAATTTCTGCTATTATGCTGTTATTTGACTGACAGATCGAGCCACTGCTTACCTCTAGTAACGACCCCTTCTAAGTGAACAACGTTGGGGTGGTCAAACTGTCCCATGATGCTCGCTTCACACAGGAAATCTCTCCTTTGCTTCTCAGTGTAGCCAACTTTCAGAGTTTTTATGGCTACTGCAACATCTCTCTTGCCAGGAAGCTTTAAACGTCCACTGCACACCTCACCAAACTCTCCTAAAATGAAGTAGAACAGCGCTGAATTACTCCGACTATAATATCAATATTCTTTTTAGGCCGTGATTCAACTAGCCGCTTAAGCATGTGTTTAAATTTAACATGTGAATGTTCATATTTGAAATGGATTACTTAGGAACACAAAGGCAGGCATGTGTTTTAAATGAATTGCTGACTAAGTACCTTACGAAGTAAACACGTTAAGCCAATCTACAGGACTGTTATTTGAATCTTTTAAAAGACTTGTTAGTAATTTGTTACATTTTTTCAAAAACAGGAAATAAAAATTAAGTCACTTTCATAAGAAAATACTATTACAGAAATAGTAATACCATTTTTAAGTCAAAATGTCATTCTGTTCTACATGGTTTCATTGCTATCTTTAGATCCGATGGGTTTTATTCTTTTAAAAGGCAGCTTTTTTAATTTAACATCGTTATGGTGTTAAATGAAGCACTACATTATTACCTTCAAGCAGGACAATTTACTTTGCGGATTATGAAATGAAAGGTGTGACTTATAATAACTTGGTTACATTAAACAAACAAGAGCAAATGGTGGAAGTTTGTAAAAGGCTTCTAAACTAACAGACAATTGGAACTTGAAAAAGCATGTGAAAAAAATGGCCAAACAGCCAGCAAGAATACCAAAAAAAAAGCCTCAACAACCATAATTTGGGAGAGAAGTAATTGGACTCCATTGGACAGGAAAGAGGATGGAATCATGCGAGGTGTGGAGTCTGAATAGCAAAATATCTACCTCACTATTATTGAGATTGTGAAAGATTTAAGGATTGTGTCTTGCCTCACAGCCGTGTCAGCAGAGAAAGAGAGACCCCCTATTCTGTAGCCAGGAAGAAAAATCTCTTGGGATATATAGGAGAAAAAGGTAATGACATACCTTATCCTGAATAAAGGGGAACATCTCTTTAAAAAGAGAAAGATTAATCGCAAAAACATTTAATAATCTGGTAGTTTGCAAATTTATCTGGAGTATGGAGATATAGATCCAAGTCCCTCCTCCAAATCAAATCAAGCCTGAAAATTCTCTCCTGCATACCTGTGAGTGCCTCAACATTAAGCTATTGAGTATACACAAGTATGCAGGCACACCTACATCCAAGACAAGTTTTAAGGTGAGTGCTGAAAAAAATGATTGAATTAGGAAAGACTAACACAGAGAGTTTGATTAGAGAATCCTTTTGGGACAGAGGCTGAGGTCCTGAGAAACCTGGTGGGATCAGGACTTAAGTGCACATACACACTGGCAAGGTGTCTGGCTGGCAGTGGAGAGAGAAGTATGCCTTGAAATGAGGCTGAATGCCTGAAGAGGTAGAAGTTGAAGTGTCCTAATGGATGAGTTCTGAGAAATCTTTTTTTGGACACCATCACCGTTCCAACACTACTGTTCTCCTGTCACCCCCAATAGCAGAGCTTAAAGAAGGAAAAAAGCAGTGCCTGGGCTTCAGCTTCACGGTTCTCCAGCCAGAAGGGTAGAACTTTGGCTGGACCTTAGTATTTCCTACCGACTTGTTTGGGCAAATCTCCACTCAGCATGGCTGGTTTTACGAATCTCATAGGAGATGACTGCATACAGAATCAAATTCCTCTCCCTCCCGTTCTACCCTAGCTGAATTAAGGTTAGCTCCAATCAACTCCATATACCTCTGTTAATACCATGCTGTACTTGAGCTAATTGGCCAGACAGAGTACAACTGTTCCTGCCTGCACAGGTGAGGTATTAGCCTCAACCATCCTTGGGCACTGGAGTTGTGGTCTGAATATCTATCATCTCATAGCTGTGAATACTATGAGGCATAGCTGTTACATACATAACAACTAGCTGCTCATGCCCTTCTCTTGGTGCCTTAATCTCCCTCCTGCACTTCATTAGGAATATGGAAGACTGTAAATGAATTCACCACTCACCTCACTCACAGCTCCTAGCCACAAGAACTTACTAAAGGATAACAGTTTTCTCTAGCAGTACCTTCCAAAATTGTTTTTGTTCCATGCCGACAAGAAGACGTGAGTATGTGTGTTTGTATGTGATACTTCAGAGCCAGGTAATTAGGATACTTGGCATGGGAGACACTAAGGCTTAACTCCTTTCCAGCTCTCTGTGATCTGATTTTGACTGATTTCCAAAAGCAGATCACTCACACTCAGGCAAACCAGAAACTTGAACTTGTATGTTATGCGTTTCAGGCCAGGATGCTAGCCAATGAACTACTTTTATTCCCCAGAAAATAGTATATTCAGCTGAAATGATGCCCAAAAAGGATCCAGAAAATATGACAAGAGTGGGAATACTGCACAGCCACACAGCCACTAGCTCAGCGTGTCAACAAGGAAGAGGCTGAAACAAAGGATGTGTGGTACGAACAAGGGCTCAACATAGTGGACACCATATTCTGTAGCTGACAGGTGGCCGCAGCGGGATGGCAATGAAAACGTTGGCAAGGAAAGCACATACCCCTCATGCAAATTGAGCACAAGCATACTTGCACCCTGTTTGTCTGAGAGAGACGTGGCACTATTCAATAGTTGATGTGGCCAGCACTGCTGATGTATATTGAGATGGCTAAGTAGCTTTTCTGGTGCTGTCACTAGTAAAAATTCTATATTCTTCTTTGATGTATGAGTTTCAGCTGCTTCTTCGGGACTTTAACATTCTGTTGTTCCTGGACTGCATTTCATTTCACTCCTATTTGCTATCTACATCAACAGGTTAAAGCCATAGCTAAACCCCATACGCAATATGCTTTCACCATAGCCCTTCTAATTAACTTTTTTCAGAATGACTACCAAAACACATTAGTTTTTTTGCTACCAGTTATACTTACTAAAATCAAGAATAAATTCTTCTGCAGTCAACAAAATTATTCTGGAATTACTCTGTCATAACAGTGAAAATACGTTTTAAACTATATACTCTTTGCAACTGAAGCGTTTTCAGCATTTTGCTCAGAAAGCATTGCAAAATCCAACTGAATATATCTTTGTGCTCTGAACTGTTGCTATGCTGATAGTTTTTTAACTCAAAGCAAAAGATAAAGCTCAGTAATTTTTCTACACTAATCTTGAATTTAAATCTTGTATATTGTGTATTTATTAGAGGAGATGCTGCCATTATAACATCACAAAAATTAGCAAGGGCTGGATTCTTATGCTCTTACTCATCTGAAGGAATAATTTGCTCAGCAGTATTGTTAATTTCAATGGTACTATTCCTCAATTAAAACATGATTCAACATGAGTGAGGTTATTTTTAAGAGGCATTGTGAATTGTAAGTGTAAAGATTTTTGCACAAGTAAACCAGTTTATTTTAGAGATATTTCTTCTTCTCTTTTTAAATAATATCACAGTATGTAATTTACAGTGCATGCCAAACTACAGGGTGATTTTAAAAGTATTCTACTAATACTTTTATAAAACAACAGGAAAGCAAAAGAACACTTCCTCCAGGAATCCAAAGTATTTGATATTTTTCTTACCCATGGAAACTTAATTTCACTACATGGAGTAGTGCAATAAAAATGTCACATATCTTCTTAATGCAAACAAATGAAACTGCCTTTTTAGAGCATGAACACCATGGCTTAAGTAGGTGGTAGACAGTTCAAGAGGAAGAAAAGCAATGTAATGCTGGTGCAATTACAATCAGTCATGAGAAGTTAAACAATAACTTTTTGTATTCATAAAATATCAAAAAGAAAAATGGTAGAACAAAAAACAGCCCCAGGGAAGATTTTGTTATACAGAAACAAGACCTTCCCAGTCTCTATTTAAGATTTTGTGCTGCAGCCAGTTTTCCTTACTCACATGAACAAAAATTCAGAGGTCAAAAAGCCCCCTTGCAAAAGGAAAGTGAGAAGAATTTGCACTCATGCCTAACGCCTTTACTCTGACAGTAAATAATAGGCAGCAAAACTGCCCCCCTCTCCCCAATTACATTTTTAACAGCAGATACAGAATTAGAAACCCACAAGCTTTCAATGTCAAGCAAGACTCTTCATTTACTTATTTATTTGGTTTTTGTTGGTTTTTTTCCCCGCTTGTTTTTACATTTTAGAAGCAAGTGCAGCTTCATTGCTCTTAACCACTCTGGCAAATGCAAAAAGTTCTTCTATACTTGAGGTATAATTATTTGCCTGTCATTATGATGTATGAGTTTCGATCCTGGCTAAATGGAACAGTTGAATCAGGAAGCCACAGCAGCCTTACCTGCACCAATCACACGCTCAATTTTAATACAAGAGGCATCTAGCTCCTTGGCGAATTGATGGACAGCTCTATTTGGGTCCTCGTAGGTTTCAGGGTCAATGTAGGTTTTGGTGCCTGGAAATTTAACTGTAATGATGTAAGAAAGCATGACTGTGATGAAGCAAAGGCACTTATTGTGCAGTCAGCCCAGGAATTTCATTATGCAGAGTGCTCCTTGGAAGAGTGAACCTGCTTCCACACTGCCTGAGTCAGCCACTGCTCTGAGAGGCATCCTTAGTTTTAGGCATCATCTGCAAGCATGCTGACACAACTACACAATCCCATCTCTAAAAATGACTAACATTAGCAACTGCATCTCCACCTTGAAGTGAAAGAAGTAATAAATATTAAATAGTGCTCAATGGAATAAAATGCAAGGGCTGAGTGGGAGCAAAAATAAAGCAGGGGAAGGGGTGTAAGAGCAGCAGAGATGAATCTTTCTTTTCAGTGTAAGGACAGCTTATCCTCTTTTCCCAGGTTGTGTAAACAGCATTTCTTTACGTTATCTCTGTCTTCTAGTGGGATTTGAAAGGCTCCTCCACCTACTTCAATTTGCTTAAACTATTGAATATAATGTTATTTACGGACTGTGGCAATAGCCAAGCTAAACTATTCACAGCACTTAGAATTTATATCCTTAGGTGTGTTTCTTGCACTAGAATATGAACATGAGAAACACTTGTAATCAACTTGTAAAGGCACAGGAAGGGGAAGTGGGCTCCGTGGCACAATTATTCCCTTTCTCAAGCATCTAAGTGAATAATATGCAGCAACTTGGTTTCTGTTCCCTCTTTCTCAAGTACTTAGTGCAACTCAGGCAGTGTAGCGCTCTGGCCAGCATGTAGTTTTTTCCCTTAGTTCGCTGCTGATTCAGGAAAATTATTATTTTCCCTTCTGGTGAAAGTAGAGCAACCGTGGAAATCTATTAACCAAGCAATTTTTATGAAATAAATTTGGCTCACAAGGATTACAGTCCTGAACTTTAATTAAATCAGTGAATTAAAACTCAATATGAAAATGCAAGAATGTTCCTCTGCTAATTGATATACAAGAATAGGATCAAAAGTCAATACAAACCATAAATAATGTATAGTTGCTTTGTAATCTTTTAATTGAACATAAAATATTTTAAATTTGAAAATATATTGGAAAATAGCTTAGTAATCATGTATATTTATATTTCAGATGGTATTACTAACCAAAAAAACCCCAAACCCTCATAAAAAGGAACAAGCTAGAGAAATTGCTTAAGGAATGTAATGAATTTACATCCAGAGAAATTATTTGAAATTTTGCCCAGATGTTATTATCTGCCATATTACGTATTTAAATAGATGTTCTTCCAATTGTATTGATAATGCTACAAATTTTAAAAATGATAAATATTTATTTCTTAAAACGAAAAAGGACCAGGGAAATGAGAAGAAAGCAATAGGTTAACCTCCTATAATAGTGCTTTCAGGCAGGGAGATGGAGGAGCCATCCTCTTGTGTTTGTGATAAGGGGCCTGAATTGGAGGTAACCTTGCGAATCTCAAATGGGCCTCTGATGGTTCTTTATTCAAGCTGTCATAAAACATTTTGACAGGCCAAGGCTATCCTGGCATACCAACGTGAAATAGTGCTGGCCTGGATTTGAAGACATTGTTAAGGAGAAAATGGTAGGAGGAAACCAAATATAAATCTGAATTGTTTGATTAAACTCCTCTATTGTATTTGTATCTTTAAGTGTAGCACTTGAGGTCACAGAGAGTTGAGGGAGACCGAAATGAAATATATGATCCTCTACTAAATACAGTGCTTTAAAACCTGCTTTAAAAAAATGGTTACTTGTAAGTTTTTGTGTTAGGAAGGAGTTTGTTGTAAGTCACGTTTTTGAAAATCCAATCTGGTACCTCAGCACAGAAGAAGGTTGTCTAGATGTTATGGAGCAAAAGGACACCAAACTGATGTTCACATCTCTGTGACCAAGCTGGTGACTACAGCACTGGCTTCCATCTCATTCTGTACATGGCTACCAAACAATATTAAACGAAACCTTTAATCAACAGACGATGAAAAACTAGATTGGCAAAACAGTGACTTACATGTGGTGTTATGGTTTTAAAAAGACTGTGTATGCTAACTGTTCTGGCTGATTTACTGGATAAGCAGATTTCTTGAAAGTAAAATGAGGGAAACGAGCACTTATAAAGGCTCACCATTTCTGGATCAACTATTAATCATTAAGCAGGAGCTTTCATATTAATTCATTTACACTTTCACTGAAACAAAATATGTCACAGATAATGGAGACGAGGAAATGAATTATTTAGCTACCATATTCCTATTGTTTATATACTGAAATACAAGAATACATAGTTGATCTTTTCCTTCAAGGACATAATGGGGATTTTACAAGTGAAAGCAGTAGCTCTTCTGAAGACATGAAAAGCTTATAATGCATCTATGAGAGGCAAATTTCAAATCCATCACTCCCAGAATAGTAACATTTAAGTAACATCAGATTTTTGATGAATTCTTTAAAATCAGTTGCATTGCAAAGTGCATGATAAATAATTCTTATCCCATTATTATTTTCCACCTTTCTTGCACAGATTATGAATTGATTGACTAAAGCCGCAATGATGTCACTACGTAGTTTAATACTCACTGCATTTAAACAAAATCATTTAGGTAGCAATACATCCAAATTCAGGGAGCATGAACAAATACCAGCTGATCTGTTTTTTTCAGGGCAGAAAGGTGAAACAGAAACCTTGATCTGATTTTGAGTGGAGCTTTGGCTAGAACTACTCGTTTAAAGAGGCGTGCACTGAGAAGATGCTACAAATTTGTGACTAGTGGCTACTTCATTCTGCATGTGATAATAGCTCATGATTTTAACATATAAATAAAATAAAGTAAAATAAGATAAACCATACTGCTTTAAAAAAAAATCTGATGGATTTAGGCTACAGCTGCAATTATTGGTAGACAACAAAGGCTACATACAGCACATGACTAAATAGTAAGTTCTATTGATATGAGAGTTATCAGGTATGGGAGATGACTGGAAACCCAGGCATTGTTTTGTGTCAGAACCTATATTCAATTTAATTCTATTATGTGATTTTGCAATTTTAGATGCTCGAAATCAATTTGCTACTTAGTTTTACCATACTTCCTGAGTTAATGACTGATTCTAAAAGAAATTCAAATATTTTAAATTTCTCATGTCAAAATGCTGCTACAACTGAAATGAGAAAGGGCTAAAATAAGAAAGTTTTTAAAACAATATTTTGGTAAAACTGAAACTATTCTTGCATAAGCCTTCCTCTCCCCTTAAATTTTCAGTTGTCATTAATCCAAGAAAGATGTATTTTATTGAATTTTCCCACGGTTCTACAATAAGTTCAGATGGTAGCTGTGATTTTAACAAAAAAGGTTTTAGGTGCCACTCTTAGCTAGACAAGTGATTCTAGAACAGAGAAGAGTAAAGAAGTAGCTGACCTTTCCTTTCACATTAAATATTCTATTTTTAAGGACTTTATGTTTTGTAAATATTGATGCTACAGTATTCACAGTAGCAGAAAACAGCTTTTGAGCAGAACAGCTTCATTGTTAGGGTGATGCAGTGACCCACACTTTCTTAATCTGGAGTTTGCCTGAGGTAAAGATCATATAGTCACTTAGCCAAAGGTCTCTCAAATGCTGCACCTCAGAGGGATCATTAGGATGTGTGAAACATGTATTCAAAGCAACCAAAAGAAAAAAAAGAAAGCAGAATGAAAACAACAGTATATTATACACATGTATAGAAATAAAACCATCTGTGTGAGCACTGTTGACTTTAATCTGCATTCTTTTTGTGTAGGTCATGCTATTTACACAGCATTTTTGAATTTCTTATGGCTTTGTCTTTCATGGAGTGTTGTTTTAGTATTGTCTACACTATTGCAGTTGGGAATTTTTGAAAGGGGGGGAAAAAAGCAAAACACTTACAATGAAAGTAAAGTTCTTCATCCCCTTCTTGATCAGCTTTGCTATAGCCACAATGCCTGAAAAGAAAGACGACAGTTTTACTGGTAAATAATGATTTACTTCCTCACATCTAAAGTCCTGACAACATCAGTTCTGCAGGCTGGGATTTTCAGGCACTGAGCACCTAACTCCTGTAGGCCCTTTGAAAGTTTCAGCTGTAATTCTCTTGACAGCAGAGTTTTAAATAAATCATGAACAGTTGCAATCAAAAGACTTTTGTATCAAATACCAGTTGGGACAGGTCCTAAAGAGAAAATTCTACTTCTGGTGAAAAGCTTCTATGGATAAAACAGAGGATTAAAGAACTTGAAAGCAGAACACAGTTTTACATGAGGGTATTCTTAAACTTACTGCTGTGCCTCTTTTTCTTGCATGTAAAGCCATTTAAAGGCTGATCAGATAAAGTGTCAGACTTCTCCACGTGAGAAAACTGAACAGAAAGAGGGACTTTGAGGACTACAGGTGAAGAACCTGCTGGGGGTTCCTTTTACAGCACATTTACATAGGACAAAAAGAGCATCTTGATTTAAGTGTGTCTTGCCAAAGTAAGAGGAAGAACTCTATAGTTGATAACGGGATTTAAATGAAAATTGTCCTTACTAAAAATGACTTTTGTTTCAGTTTTGCAAATTACCACCCCAGATTAGACTATGTCTCAGGAGTTCACAAGAGTGGGGTCAGATGTGCTTACGCCTATGCAAGGTGCAATACCTTCGCCCGATGATGAATCCAAACACCATGAAGACCAGAATGATGGTTCCTGCCACAGCAACCACAGCTATGATAATAACAGGATTCTGTTCACTGGAAACAGCTGTGGCTACAAACAAAGCACAGAGCAGAGATTAGTTTAAAATTATTCCCTAAAAAGGAACTGCAAAAAATTGTCAACCTTCATGAATTGCAGACTGTTAGTTTACCTTTTCAGTTGCCTGAAACTATTAAATTGATAAAGTTAGTCTGAAGAAGGGCCTCCACTGGAAATTCACCCAAAGGCTGGATGAGTTAATGATCATCTACAGAGAATGTAAAGAAGCTATGCTGGAATTGACTTGGTCAAAGTGGTACAGCCACTAGCTGAAAGGCAGCACCAGCCACTTCCACTCCCTCCTACTGCTGCACTGCCTTCTGTTTTGCTCAGTGGTTGCCTCCTTCCTAAAAGGGAAGTCCTGGGTATCCCTGTAAGGGGGGATGGTAGGAGAATAATCCCTGAAGAGCTCTGCTCCTAGCCTCCCCCCTAAAACCTGTAACTTTGATGGTACCCAAGGAAATAGTGTCTTAACTATAAGAATGTTTGAGATGAAACACTATCTGTTAACACAGATTTCCTAGTTAGCATGTTTCTATCTCTTACTGCTATTAATCATTGTAAGTTGTTATTATTACTCCTCATTTGTTTCTGTTAGCAACGAAAAGGTGCTTCCACATATACAAAATGGAATTCTCCATGCTTCAGAGAATTTACGTGCTAAAATATCCACACATTATCGCTCTTTTTATTCAGATATGCCAATGTTATTAACATATGCAAATGTATGCATGTCACATTAATGTAAACTGAGGATGTAAATACTTAGCCCGAGAAACCTCAAGGTTTGTTAAATACATTTCTCGTCCGACCTCTAATGAGGGTGGCCATATACTCAGTCGCATTAAATGAGCAGTGCTCTGCTGAACTCTATGGAGCTATGCTGGTTTGTAACAGTGAGGATCTAGCCCAGGAGCCTGAGAATAAAGGAGGAGATATCAGGCAGTGATGCTGGGCAAGGGACTGTGAAAGTGTGTCATCTGGAAGTAGCAGAGAGATAAAAGAGAAAAAAAAAGGAAACCCAACTGATATAGCTGATTAACTAAATTGTAGATGGTATGTTAATATGGTTAACTGATGGTAGTGGTAACTGAAGAGGAATGTCTACATGAGGATTTTATGGATTGCACAGAATCAGGTTCCTGTTGCAGACTTCAGAGATTCCTGTAGAAACAAACTCCTTCAATTACAAAAAGCACAGGGTGATCTTTAGATCCACTGGCTACAAGTCACTTAACATAACTTTTAAATATTTCAGTGAATCAAAAGATAAAATTACCACTTAAGTGGTAATAGAAATAAAAAATAAATCTATGGATTTATATTTTCTTCCTGAGGGACTTCTGTCTCTAATAACCAGCAACGATTCCAACAAAAAAAATACAATGATTAAAGTACTTTGATCTATGGCAAACACAGCATAGAATAGAAATATCCTGCCTTTATAAAGCATTTTTACTTCATAATTTTGAAATTTTTACATAAATATGTATGCAATGCCCAACATGTATGATATCTGCAAATACAGGTATAAAATATGCATATTTTACATATCAGATAATATTAATATAATGGACGTAGTTCCTCAAATATTGAAAAGTGGCCATGCAGTTTCTATTACAACTCAGAAACCGGAGCATAATAAAAAAATCTACTTAAACAACAGCACCAACCAAAAGGTGCCAACCAGTTGAAGTGCCAGGAGAAATTCAGGTAGGCAACATGACTAGCTGACTGTGATGGTCACTATATATATTTACATATATATGTGTGTGTGTGTATATATATATATATACACAGTCTCACCAAATATATATTCTTAAAATACTTCAACATATTTAAAAGCTGCATTCAGAAATCCACTGGAAAAATGAGAAGCCAACGCCTCTTAACTGTAGCATAACACTGGTTTACTGCTCACCTGTACGGTACTTCACTTGAGACATATTTCCTAAAAATGACCCAATAAAGGTCTTCCTTTAAAATGTTAACAAAAGACTAATTTGATTAGCCTGCAAGTTATGATAAAACTACAAACAAAATATGAGAACAAAATATTTTTGTGTAAAACAATTCTAGAAGAATTTAATGGAATTTACTTTTTACCAACAATTTAATTAATTCTGAAAACCATATATGGAAAATTGTGGATGCTTATCCTTGATGGGAATTACATTCTGTAATGTCCTGTCAAGATAATGAAAAATATGCCACTTTCAAAATTTTCTTTAATGAAAGCATAGGGCATTTTACATGGCATGTCAAAACACAAAGCTGACCTGTGATAAGTGAGAAATCTGCTGTGCATACTGGACAAGTATGTCGCTGGTTTATATGTTGTTTTTCATCACTTGAGCCTGAGCCAGAAAAAGGGTACACGAGCATGGTCAGTGATACATTTATTCTAGGATTTCCTAATCTTCCATATGTCGACCAAACCCCAGTCAAGACTGTTTACTTCTGAAATTATCTTTGCTAATCTTAGTAGCTACCAGTATGCTTACATTCAGTATATAAAAACTACTCAGGTAATTAAGGAAATGTTGGGGAAATATTTTGGTCTACTAATTTTAAACCACTATGGACAATAAACTAGCTAATTAGCAGAAATTTATGACAGATTATGACTTTTAATTTGTTTTCCAGAAATTTACTCAAAATAAGAAATTACTTCTGGCTGTACCTCAGGTTCCCATTCTGCAAAATGGGGATTCTGCTACTGACTCTTTCTAAAGCAGAACTCCATGGATGGAAAGCATGCTATCAGACACAGAGCTAATAATATTAGTAATAACAGTTTATTGCTGCTATTATGACAATTACTATCTCATTTATGACTATTAGACATGTGCTATTATTCATTATTGATCGTTTTCGTATTCTGTGTGGAATCAAGGTGGAATCAAGACCTAACTAACTACTGTTAGTAAGAATACCCACGAATTGTTCAGGCAACATCTGGCTGCAATTAATAAGATGCAATAGTGTGTGTCCGCACCTTAGATATGCTGCACAAAGCGCAGAAAGCAGACTTGGCATCTATACCCTTTGAACCTGTAGGCTATGTATCCTCAGCTCCAAATCTGACTGACTTGCTGTCAGGCAAATGACCCAAAACAGAGTAACCAAATTTGGGTCTGCAACAGAGCAGTGAAGCTGCCAGGGACACAGGCAGTTCCCAGCTCACGGCTGCCAGGTCTTAGTGATGCTAGAGTTTCTTTCTGAAGACCCAAAATGTGGAAGATTTTCTCTAAGCATGCATGCGCATATCTACATTGGTGAGAAAAAAAGGTATCAGTGTGATTTTTAGACAAATAAGGGCACAAGATCGGTTTCAGCGTCAAGGAAAGAACAAGCTCTCCCAAAATGTCATCCCTCTGCTGAGATGTCACAGCCAGATTCTCTGGTGTACTGGACTGAGAGAGTTTGTACTCCAGCTTCATACTTTCCATTGTGAGGGTTTTTGAGAGGTTGTTTTTTCTTTACACAGCGTACAACTTATTACATGAGCCTTAAGGAAACCTAGTATCTTTGAGAACTCTGTTTCTTTACTAAACCAAGTTGAAACTAGCCAATGAACTCAAAAGACACTAAGGATGGACATACAGCTTAAGCAAAACACAGACATAAACAAAACTATAAAGAGTTTTTTCAGGAAATCAAACGGAGAAAATGGCCTGGAGAAGCCTCTGTGGGCTGAAATCTCCTCTTCCCTCCTCTCCCCAGTTACAGAAGAATCTAGGAGAGTTATTCAGCTCACCACTACTCACTTCTCCTGTGGGAGGAAAGAGGTGTGTATTTGAATGAAAACCAAATTTCTTTGTGTTAGAAGGACATCAGAAAAGAAGAACCTGATATGTTACAAAACTTCTCCAGGTAATTATGAGTGTAATTCGTAGTTCCATGGTAAAACAACTAATTGAAGCTCATCCTTCAAATACAGTGACAAAAATCCACCTTCATGTAGAACTTCATTCTTTCTAGTTTTAATAATATTGCCTATGACTCTTTCCTTTCTTGCTTTACTTACTACTTCTACTGAAAGTGTTAATTTCCTATAAATCTAATTGTTTACCGGTGGCTTCTTCTAGTGTGGCAACATCCAGTCTTGGGCTGTAATTTCCATAACCAGCAGCAGTAAAAGCACGGATCTGGAAAACATACACTGTTCCTGGCTTTAGGTTATTAATAGAAGCTGAAGTGGACTTGGTTTTTACTGTTGAATAGGTCCTCTCCCTTTGATCCTGGAAACAATAAGACAAAAGATTAAATGACATTTACAGGTCAGATTTTATCATGGTTGCACATCAGCAACTGACAGCCAGCCTGGGTAGTTTATTTCAATTTGTTGAATGCTTTTTTTCCAAACATAAGAAATAAAGCGTACTCTGTGGACTATTACAAAGACTGTCAATGCAACAAGGAGCTCCAAGTGTAACATAAAATTCAAATGGGATGCTTATGTTGTTACTCATAAAACATCCAGACATAAAATGATTGCTTCTTTGGCTCTGATTGATTACATTTTGTGAAATTTTGATGAGAAAATAGCTTGATCACAGCTTTCCATGGGGATCTGCGGGGTCTAAACAGTTCAAAGACAGGAAAATCTGTTCTTTCATGGTCAAAACACCTTCCCGTGTTACCTTGCAATACCTTTTAAAAATACAATACTGCCAATGTATAACTGGCTGGATTTTGCACCAAATTCTGAGGTCCTTAACTCAGTTCACTTAGGTTTTTTCTCTGGCTTTTAGTCTTTTCTTAGGTTTTGACTCTATGGCATCAAGAAGAGCCCAGGGAAAGAAGCTCAGTATGACACCCCCAAAATTTGAAGCTGTAACATTACAAACCCTATGAGTAATAACTCACTTTCAAATACTACAAAAGCTGTGTCACAGATTCTTACAGTATTCAAAAAGCTCTACTTATTCGTCACATTTACTGATCCAGATTATCTTTCAGCAGATATGTGCGGTCCTGTTGATTTTCAGTGGCAGATGCAACCCTGATTTGAAGGGCAGAAGAGTTGAATTAACCAACCATCTGAACGCACCACATGACCAGAGAAGCATGAGCCGTACGAAGCAGTGCTAATGAGATGGATACAGAGGGAAGGAATAAATCTGTAACTCATTTCAACAGCACTTTGCCAGCTAAAAATGATGGAAAGCCTTCCCCTTCGCAGTCAGTAAAGCAGCAAAGGCATTAGCTGAAATACAGAGTTAAATACAACATATATGAATTCTTTTCTGAGATTCAGTAATGGCTTCTCCTGGGTCTTGCCCAGACTGTCATTTGAGCAAGCCCACTGGCTCGGCTAGCAACGATTTTTCGTATCTTCTCCAAGAGGGTTTAAATCATCTGTAAGTGAGGACCATGGTGGAATGTATGTTGGTATGTGAGATTTGCTTGAGAGATAGAAACAAGTGTAAGGAAACCATAAACAGTCAGGTTCGGGACTGTAAGCCACAGTGGAATTTCAGGGTTTGGGTTTTGATGCATAAATAAGGCTTATTTGAATTGCCAACAGTTCCTGTGTTCAAAATAAATAAATAACAAAGAAATAAAAATAACCTGCGCTAGAAATCCCACAGGACATGCTTACTTGGGAGATTTCAGGCAGTTTCCATTCCAGCCCTAGCCAGAAGTGAGAGGTGAAAAAACCACTTATCAGAATATTTGAGAACCACAAAAATGTTTGATTTAAGTTGGCTCTAAAAGGAGCTGAAAGTTCAGATCTTTTTTTTTTTTTTTCTTTTAAACTAATGGAACAAAACTTAAACTGCCTCTCTCGTTCTGAGCAAGAAGCTTATGAAGTAATTTTCAAGCTGAACTGCATTATTTTGGAAGGAAGGCAAGTATTTAAGTATTTGTGTTGAAATTGTCTCACTGAATTAAAAGTATATAGTTCAGTTTATTTGTTACTGTTCATAGGATGAGCTTCTTATTCTCTTTTATTAATTTCACTGTAATAAGTATAATACTCGTAGGTTTCCTTCCATTATAAAATAAGTTTAACATCAGTTCTTGTCTTTCCAAACATAAGAAACTGGCGATGAAATTCTGCTGCTTATGTAAAGTAACATGAATATACAGGGAAAATAATAAAATTTATCATTTTATGAAAAGTCTAGTATCTTGAGCATTTTTCTGACATTTTCTACTACCCATTTAAATTATTTATTTTATTGTTTTATAGATCAGAAATTACTCTGCATATTAAAAAAACCCAATTTTTTTGGTTTGCAGTTTGGTTTTTTAAGTTTTTTTTTGTGTGGAGAACAGTTTTGCCTTTGGTAAGTATGTAAACTTTTTTTTTTTTTAAATGTATGGACTTTATTTGTGTGTCTGCACACACATGCATGCTTGAGGAACAAAAATTACCTGCTAAAATTAGTAAAATTCCCTTAAAAAAATTGTTTAGCTATCTGTACATATCTAGTAAATTTTGTTATGAGTCATTACAGTGAACAACTTATACTGGGAGTTAGCATCAACAAATAAACATTCCTTTCCCAAATCATATAAAGATCTTTTGATAAGTATATTTGTGCAATTCAGCACTGAAAATTAGATGTGACACTTGATATTAGATCCAATCTGGTCTGAATTTACCTAATTCTATGTTACCTAGTAAGCTAACATGCTCTTTTTGGTATAGCGGTGCTATTACCTTGTTTGCAGAGACGAAATGTCTTCACAAGTGATCACAAAGGAGCTCCTTTGTTCATTTCTTTGCATTTTAATTCTTTCCTTTTCCTCCCAGAATGTTTTATAAAAATTAGGAATATGTTATGTGCTACAGTAAATTTCCCAGGGAATCTGGAGAAGCCACACTTAGTCTGGGTCCCATGACAAACATGTAGCTGCACAACCTGCCTTCACTCTGCTTTCATCCGGCTTACGGTTGCATGTGGCCTTACTTATATGCTTGTCAGAATTTTTTTATTCTGGAGTACTTCAAATTTATCATGAACGAAGCCCTGGACACACTGAAATGAATGGCAAAACTCTGACTGACATCAATAAGATTGCAATTTCACTCTACCAGAAACAGAGATCACTTCATTTACTTTTGAAAAGCAGCCCTCAATTCATTATTGTGTTGAGAGAACAAGTGAAAAATAAATCTCACAATGCTGGGACTTTTTAAAAGGACAAATAAAGAATATTTATCAGCTGAAACTGTAGGAGGTGCTTTGGAAGTTTTCAGACATCAAGTCAAAGTGGCCCAGCTCATAAGGAAATACCAAATGCAGTCAAGAGTTGTATTTGATATATCATCTCAAGACTGGCATTACAGTGACATAGAAGGAAATGAAACAAGCTTTATACACAATGTAGAAGAGACAGGAAAATGACAAATATCATGGTAAAATATCCAAGTCCAACTTAACAATTAAAAAAAAAAGTGTAAAAAAGGCAGATTTCAAGTGGATATTTCATTTTTAGGATACCAAAATACAATATATGGGACATATGATAGCAATAATAATTGCAGGGATTTGCTAGTTATTAAACATGAGCAAGATCACTGTGACTTTGAAGAGACAGGATAGTTGATAGCTGATGGCTTTAACATTGTTCCACAACACAGCAAGCCAACACGAAGCAAACAGCACATTGTTGCACATTACAGATAATCTTAGCACTTACTTTCTCATAATACTTGATTTCATATTCAGTAATGACTCCATTGGGATGTTCTGGTTCCTGCCAGGAAAGCTCCACGCTCCTCTGCAGCACTCTCTCTTTCATTACTCCACTAACTTGCGAGGGAGCTGTTTGGACAAGATGTGTCAATAAATAAAAAGCAAATTTGTTGGATGCCTAAAATCAAATGCCATTACTGATCTGCCCCATGCTGAGCCACTTTCATTAAGGTAAAAGAAAGCACCTTTTCATAGCTTACAATTCAAAGCTAATGAATATTCAAGCAGGACCCTATTACTGTTCATAAACTTAGAATGGAAATCAAATTAAAGTGCAAAGAGCAAAAAGTGTCATTGTTCAAGTTAGTGCAAAACTGAGATTGATGGGATAGGAATAACAATTAAGCAAATTAATTCTGATTGAGAAAGTAAGGTAGATTTTTAGATTGATGTGTAATAAACTAAGAGTCTAAATATTTATTGCATATGTTTCTGAAATGTGCATAAAAAGAAAAACAATGTTTTAGAAACAAAATCACATTTTAGGTTGATTTCATATAACTGATTCCAATTCTGCTTAAAAAATAATGTCACACTATCTGATTACGGCATGACTTGGTGATGGAAACAACTGTGTTAAGAGACTAAACCCCCTCTTTTTCATCAGTTCGAATCTTTCCAGGACATTCTCTCTTTAGAGCTGAAGTTTCCATATTTGGTCGGCATTTTTTGAAAGTGTGAGACAATTTAAGAAATAGATCTTATGAAATAGAAGAATTTAAGAAATAGATCTTATGAAATGAAGGGGACACTGTCTTCCTCTACCTCACTCTACAGAGACATACATACATGCACACTTGCACACGTGCACACATACACACAGTTTCCTAATAAACATCACTCACAAACAAGCACCTTTTGAAATTAAAAAAAAAAAAAAACAATGTACAAGCATTGTAGAGCCATTGACCCTCATTTAAAAATGTTTAAGAGAGAATGTAATAGAATGTGAAAGACTGAAAAACTAACTTGCTTTATCAGCTTATCTCATGTTTATCAAAAAAGAAAGATGGCAGATTTTCTGCTGACATGCATTGGGCCAAAGGAGGCCCAACATCACACTTTTCCTCAAATATACATACTGCCTATATGAATGTAGCACAGAAGTCCTGTAAAGCCATAGCTCTTTAAAAAACAACTACGGCTTTGGAACCATGCAGAACTTGATCTTGTTCTCTTTCAATTCAATGGAAATAATTCAATAATTCAATTTGTAACACTGCTCATGCAAAAGATATAGATAAAGAAAGGACTTGATCTTCAGCCCCTTGCAGTTAAAAGCAAAATGACATTTACGTGTACAGGAACTTGGTCATATTCTGAGAGCAGATTCAGACACAGGAAAGGAAATGAAAATTAGAGATAAATTTATTTATAACTTTCCAAATATAGAATCTAGTAGTGATTCTATATTTGAATGTTTGTTTGAACAAAAATTCTGAAAAATTGAAATCTTTTTCTAGGTAAAAAAAAGAACCACCTTATTTCAGAACTGTATATAAAGCTTTCACTATGTAAAATGATGTACAGTCTTCAGGTAGAACAGGGTTCTTATCCCATGAAACAAGCAGGTGAACTTCATTTTCTCTTTTACCATTCACCTTGAGTTTAATTAGAATAATTCCCATTCTAGTATTCTTTAGCACACACACCTTCCTCTATTTAATTTTAAAAAACCATAGAAATAAAACATATAGAATGCACACTCCTGTAGCATTAAGGATAAAAATATAATGACAAAGTAAAAAGATCTACAGCACAATCAAGACAATAATTGTCTAAAAAACTTAAAATTTGATTAACTTCTTATTCTAATTGTGAAGTTTCTAGCCTTTTTTATTATAACATGTATATTCATGTAGGTTTTTAAATTAAATTTATTTACATTTCATTAGAGGCTCCAAGAGTCCATGAAAATTAAGGATTGAAGCCATGCATGATAATTTTCATTATGAACTATTATGTTGTATATAATCAATATAATCAAAGTTGAAGACCCCTTAATGTAGGCTGCCTAACTGATAAAATCACAAAATTGTATAACGTAAATACCATGGGTTGATACACCATTCCAAAGCCAGGATCTCTCTCTTTCGCTCTTCTTGCACTCTCTTTCTAAAAGCGTGGAGTATTTTCACTCTCTAATTAGTGAAATATATTCTTTTTTGTAGCTAAGAGTCTGGAATGCAGCAAACTAATTTACTCTGTCTAGTTTTCTTTGTCGTGATTAACTAGTTGTCTTCTTTGTCCAAATGAGTACCACAGCATCCTGGCTGAATTTCAGAGAGGTCATTATGTTTCATGTATGATGTTCTATCTCATCCAGATAAATGTTTTCTAATTGCTAATTTTACATTTTTAGATGTCCAAAATTGTTAATGTTCATACTTATCATGAAACAATTTTATATTACCTAGGTCACTGGAGTTTGGTCTCAACATTTGCTGCCTTTTGTTTTAGCTTATCAAATTTTTTTCATTCAGTTGGTCATAGCATTCGTTTTTTTAAACCAGTGAAGCAAAATGAACTCACTTCCTCGGGTATTAGTTAACTGTGTATGTGGAGAAGGAACAGCAATGCAGAGAAGGAGGAACAGAGAAGGGGGAAGATTTTAATCAGAGAAGTGAAATATACTATGTGAGATTCCTACTTAACATCTGTACAAAGTACACCACAAACAGGCATATTCCATTCTTAAGGAATTTCCATTCAAAACAATCTCAGTCATTTATCAGCATTGCAAGACAGCATTCAAAAGTCTTAAATAAATGCATTCTCAAATATATTTCATGTCAGTTAATATTCTTTTCATTCAAGAATGGTCAGATTAAAAGCTGGTTTTGGGTTTTTTTTTAGTTGCGTTTTGGCTTTTTTTCCCCTCTAATTGAAAACGTTGTGCTACTTTTCACTGATAGAAGAACCACATGAGGAAGAAGAGAAAGTCCAACCCTGCAGACTGTATATGTTGCTAGGTCTGAAGATAATTTTGTTGTATATAATTCCCACACCACATGATATTCCTAAAATGCAGTAAGTTACCTAAGCTTATTTTGTGTCCCCACATTTGTTGGGGGAAGAAGGAAATCATCAAATCGGTTGAAACTGGAGTATCCTCCTCTGGCAAGGTACACCAGTCTGTTGTTACTGCAAGGAAATCTCTGTGAACTAGAGCAATGACGTAAACCAATCTATTGATGTTGGAGGCTAGATGTATATGCTATCTTTGTCCTGTCTTTTGGGTTGCATTTCTTGATCTGTGCTTAATGAGAGTGTACAGGTCAGAAGCGTTTTGTTCTTTATTCTAGTATAATCATTTCCTCCGTATTCTCTCTGTGCCTTTCTTACAGACTATTTTGCATTCATGTTTTATTTGTTCTGGCTTCCTGACACCTCCTTTTAAACCTCTAGCCCACTTCTCATTGCCTACCCTTGTTAATTAATTAACAACCTATTTATGGTTTGGAAACAACTACGTTTGAGCAAGCTTCAAAATGAGTTAAAGCATACAATTCATCCCTAAATACAAGATAAAATATGGTATTAAATAACAAAAAAGATAACTCTGTAAAAACAGAACTAAAAATATCATTTTTGTTCCCATTGGTAGCTAAACAACTACTACTACTACTACTACTACTACTACTACTACTTCTACTACAAGATAAAAACTGTTTCAGGTATTTTTTTCTTTTAGTAGTCCAGCTCTTGCCACTGCATCTATAACAAAGTTGTTCGTGATGAAGACACTTCCTACAACATTTGCAGACAACCAAGTACCCAGTCCTGAATGACTTGAGCATGCATAATCCCTACTGTATCACTTCAAGTTGCAAAGAAGCATCACTTGTCAGAATCATTATTTCCATAATATACTACACCGGGGGATACAGGCTGTACAAAACACCATTTGCTATCATCAACTTTCTTTCTGATATACCTCATCTCTTCTTTTTTCCTGCTGACACAACACCCAATGCATCAAACACACACAGCCTCTCAGGGCTAACAGGCAGATGCACCTACACATGCTGCATAAGAAAATACTTCGAGAATGACAGGCCGTCAGCACACTCATTCACCTTTTTTAAATGCTTCAAATATACCATTCAGCAAAAGGAAAAATTGATTTTTCACCAGGTTTCAACATCACAGCCACAGAGAAATATAACTCTGCTGGGCTTTACTGATAACGCCTTCAAGTTATATAGATTTCAAGCTGGTCATCATTTTCAGATCAAGTTATAGAAAAAGTTAAAACTGAGGTGTCAAAAAGCGCAGGATATTCCAAGGAAATATTCTGCTCCAGAGAGAATATTGCAACTGGTAGACTCATGTGTTACATCTGTACTACTAAGCTAGGCATATGGTATATTATTAATAAGTGCAAATATTTATGTACAGAAAACTGTACTGATTTTTTTGGAAGGCATTGCTTTTAGTCCAGAGTTCTCTGAAAATGTTATAACATAATATTGCTCATGCCTTTAATCTCTATGCTTAGCTATTCTTTGGTTCTCATGCTTAACATTTCCCTTGATCCACAGTGTACCTTCCAAAAGACAAAGACAAATGCAAAATTAAATCTTTTGCACTTTGTATCAGAAAAAAAAACAAACCAAAAAGAAGTACAACATAGTAAAACAAAACAATAAAAACTGAAAAATGAAAACATGTGAAGCTGGACTTTCACATATAAGAGGAACTAGGCATAATGCACCAATTGCTAGCTCAAAATCATGTGTAACGTCTTTTTATTGAAAAAAGATAACTCAGCAAAAGAAACATACCTAGCCATTTCTCTGAGATTTCTTAAAGTTCTGCATCTTGAATGTGTCTCAGTTCCATCAACAGCATCAGTCATGGAGACCTTTAATTTGATACTTTTAAAAAATTCTCCCTAAAAGCAGCACACTCCGGGTGTTTAGTAGTTCATGTGTATAAAACAAACTATTAAAAATCCTCAGAAATAAGGGTTTCAATCCTGCAGTCCCACTTCAGGCAGAAAGTTTCACAAACGAACATGAGTAAATGCTCTGAGTGCAGGACCACACTCCGTATCAATAAATGCT